ATCGCTAAGGTAAGAACAGGTATGCCTGCAAACCCTAATCCAATAGTGAATACTAAAATTTTTGCAGAACTCATAAATCTGGACCCTACAGAACAATATGGACATCAAGGGCATGGGCCCATCACAAATCCTTGCACTCGCAAATCGAGCCCACAGACAGTAGCAGCTGATCCAATGGACCCTGGCCCATTAAAAAATAAAACGAATTACATTAGCACTAATTACACGCTTATTAAAGAAAATTTAAATAAGGTTACTAACAACCCTCTTAATACTTCACTACATACAAACAACTACAATTCACCAAATATTACGGATGAGGTTACCCCTAAAGAAGACCTAATGGATCTTCACATCCCCAACCCTTCTCCCACGTTACCCAGTACAGCTGGACAGCCAAACTCCACTACTACTCCTACAAACGACACATTAGCCATGCACACTGACATTACACAAACAAAATCCACCAAATCTTTCTCTGACCACTTAAAATCTGTCTCACTGCATACCACCCTAAATGGGTCAATCGCTACATTACCTTCCTCTTCTCAACTACACTCTTATCCATCTCCCCTGCCAAGTAATCATACCACTCCATGTGACACAAAATTATCAACCCTAAACCTTACGCCTAATCCACCCTGTGTTCCATTCATCAACCCTGTTGATAACAATACACCACAAGACCTTAAGATACAGGAACACAACACCCCAAACCCCAATATAAACACCACTACCACCTCGGAACACCATGCAACGACCTTGGTACACCACATTCAGAAAAACTATCAACTCAACCACACCATTGATCTACACCTCCCAACCCAACCACACCATTGATCTACACCTCCCAAACGCCACCATTTGATTACCCTCTCCAGTCATGGCTAGAGATGGGACTTCAAGGCTACTCACTCATCTTCACGATGGAACTCAACAACCAAGAGATGATTCTTCTAGTTCAAAACCCAACACACCTAGCGGTGATTGTTACAGAGGGGATGAGGGTAGGGATGGAGGCAGTAGCTCAAACCCAACGGTCCAACATCAACACACCTCTACTGTTGGATCAGACGAGGGCCTCGACCTCAACCCACTCACCTTGGGCACATCTAATCACTCCACCTCTTCACAGCTTCCATCAGGTTCTAGGGACGCTTCCTTTCTACCCTCAACGTCACACGGGAATTATATATGCACCTTGGTTTCAACACATGAACACATTCTCCCCATCGGAGATGATTCTATCACCAACACAAGAACCACTTTCTCCTCTCTTCAGTCCACCAATGACACCACCTCCATCGCCCAACGAACTAGGAGACCAAATAAGGTTGGAATTAGCTCAAATAATCGAGGAAATACGAGAAACACGAACAGAGTTCATTTGGCTCAATGGTCTTGCCTCTACAAACTCAAAGAACAGTACACAAAAAAATTCATTCTGAAATCCCCCCCCCCCCCCCCGATCTCATCACATGCAGCGTCAACATCAGGGTAAATCAAGATCCATAGGAGGGAAAATACTCCTATGGTGATCAACCCTGAAATTGAACACCACTCTACCACAGACCTCTCAAGTGTCTCTAGAGGGATAACTGATGTAGCTGATCTAGATATACCACAAAAACCCCAACCTATCATGAATCTGATCATTTGGATCTATGAGGGGTAGATCTGGCCGAGTGTTACTTGGTATCATTGGCAAAAGTCGAGGATAATTGGGTGTATGGGACCATGATCCGGAATTGCGGGGCCTAACGTAAATGGGTATGTATATATGCTCAAGTACCACGCTTTATATGTGGTAATATCCTCCTTTGAGGAAGGAATCACTATTTCTTTACTGTCCCATTTACAATCCTCCTTTATTTGCTTGAACTCGGCCTTGGTCACCAAACCAACATATTGAGACATGGGCTCGCATCGGCCAGGTGTCGAAACAAATTTTTCGATTTTGAAATCGGATGTTATCTCACACGGGGGGGATGCATTCCTCGATACGAGGTGGCATTACCGATTTACTCTTAGTTGATCGAGAAGATGAAGGAGCTTTTTCTTTTTGAGAAACAAATTTAGAAGTTTTAGCCATCGATATGTGTTAGATCCTAGAAGATGAAGACTGTTGCTAGTGAAGAGAAAGGAGAGCTCAAGGAAATTGAAAAAGGCTAAATGAGACTTTGAAAACAATATGGGAATGAAGTTTGTAAGGTTGTAGAATATGTCTATTTTTAAAGGTCATTTAAGCGTGCTGAGGAAGCTAAAAGGCCGACCCTCAGTCGCCTCCAATGAATGATTTTGGGAATCATACAAAAACAACTTTTTCAGTCGCTTCAACCGATAATGTCACAATATTGGCATCGGGTTAGAGGCACCAAGGGTTAATTCATTAAAAATCATAAAGGGCAACCTATAAGTCGAGTTCGAGCAGAATATTCTCTCGATTACAAAGCCCAGGGCTATCTGAGTTTGAGGAATTTCTCACTCAAAGAATGTGAAAAGGCCTAAGGGTTATCCTTATTACAATTTCAAGCAAATATCCGCTCGATTACTAAGACCAAGGGCTACCTGAGTTAAAGAAATTTTCCATTCAGGGACTGCAAGGAAATCTAGGGATTTACTTCATCTCGAGATCTCGCTCTCACCTAAATCGGGTTCGAGAAAACCAAGCTGACATTTAAGCTCAGCTCAAAGATTAACAAGAACCTCGAGGAGTATTGTATTGATCAATTAAAAACCTAAGGGTTTGTCATGTCCTAAGCCCGATATTCGGGCTAGTCATTGAAATTACAAAATCAAGTCTTCTACAAATGAAGATAGAATAAAATTCAGCATGGGCCCAAAAATGATACAAAGGGATCCTTTTATACTTCCAAGAAATAATTACAAAGTATAACTACGCACCCACGAAGGGTACTTACACAGGAACAAAGAAGAGAAAAACGAAAGCCAATGATCCTAGTTCACTTTTAGTTCCACGACCTCGAGCATTGTCCCCGGAGGTCCTCTTCTCGAGGGCACCATTTCTGATCTTTGGAAACATTTGGTAGTAGGTCGTCGATAAATATCATTACATATCCAGCCTCCGAGATTGATCATTCCGTTGAAGTTTTGGGCCATAATACTTTATGAAAAAACAAGCAAAAGGAAAAAACCAAAAGGGGTTGCAAGACGCACGAGCAACAATACATGAATGTTCATAGTCAGAACTCTATTCCGTTGTGGGATGCAAAAGTTACTAGATAATAGTGTCACCTTATTCCATGGAAAGCAAAATGAATGAAGCGCCACACCAGGTTGAAAAGAGAGATGAGCAGCAATGTAAAGTTCTCATATCTTCTGATACGGGAAGGATTCGGTGCCTTTCTCTCATTGACTCGAGCCAAAGCTTCGAGAAAGGAAGCCTTGACGTAACTGGTAAAGTTTCTTCCATATGACCTTGTGGTCACAGATTTGAACCATAGAAATAGGTGATTAGAGGAAGGGATGCTGAAGGAAAAGGACTAAAAGTAGATGAAGAAGGAATAAATGTAGTTTGTGTTCAGTTGAGTGACTTCTTACTTATAGGAAACTAACGATGCAACCAGCGGTGCAAGTGGCCGACAAAGGCTTAAACGCATTGAACATTTTAGGGAAGCACACTGACATGACATTTTCGGTCATTTCAAATGCCTACGTCACGGTCTTGACATCATCGCAAGTGGCTCGGGAAGATCGAGGTTTGAAACGTTTCATATCATTTCACTCTAAGAAATGGGGGTACTATCTGTATACGCTCAAAATGAAGGAGCCCGATTTCGAGGTCTTAAGTTGGACTTTGAGTCCGAGTCCGAGTTCGGGCAACTCGAAATGGAGGTCGGACTCGGCTGAGGGACACCTACCTCGAGAAAGTTGATCGAAGGCCTGGCACGACCTATATCTAGGGCAACACAATCTCGAAGTCAATCAAGAAAGAGCGGAAATTTCTCAATTGCTCGTAAACTAGGGCATAAATTAAAGGATAAGATTTGTATGAAATGGTACGGGTCCGTACTAGGTTGTTATACACCTGTACCAATAGAATTCTTTACCACAATTAAGAATGTACTATATTAGGGTTTTCCTCCTCCTATATAAAGGGGACCCCAATCATTTTGTAAGGATATGTCACATTATTCACTACAATAGAACATTTTACTCTTCTTTCCTTGTTTACCGTGCTCAACAATTATTCTTCAGCTTTATTGCATTTACTTTATTGTTCATACTTTGTTCTTAGCTGGCCTCGAGGTCCTGGGATATCCATGCTCGAGGCCCCTATTGCTCTAACAACATTAATTTGGTTCATCATTTCTTCTTATTTAAGCTTATGATTACTTGTATTATTACTAGTATTAGAATACATCACATATCTTTAAAACCATAAATTATCTTTAATTGTTACTCATATTTTTTTAGGTAATCGCACGACTTTTTGTTAGTCGCTTTCTGATGTTTAAGAGCTCACTCTGGTTCGAGAAGCGTTGTCTTACCAGGCCCGGTGGGGAACACACCATTCGGCCCCTGCTATGAGAAGTCCCCGGCTTCGATTATGATCCCATGCAATCATTTCTTCGCTTCGTTTGACCCACCGGAAAATTGGGGTATATATTATACTCGGTTTTACCCATATACACACTACAAATGGTATAATTACTAAAAACATTCTAGCAAACGAATTTGGGTTCAAGATTAATAGAATTATATCAAGCGCGTCTTTAGGAGTTAGTTCATGATTAATTCCGATATTGTGGGATTCATTAGCCTAGGTTTTTAGCACATGCAACCGCGACTTCAAATAATATCAGTGTTATTTCCTTTATTTAGTTTCTTATACTTGTTGAAACTCTATCTGAAAGCAAAACTGCCGTATTTGCAAACCCTCGTAAACACACACACAAAAAAAAAAAAAAAAAAAAAAAAAAAAAAAAAAAAAAAAAAAAAAAAAAAAAAAAAAAAAAAAAACATATGGAGGAATTAATTATCTTGTATCAAATGAGTTGAAGAGCCCTTGCATTTAGGCGCTACAGCTGCTACAACTCAGAAAAACATCCTTCTCAAGATGGTGCATGGAATTCTGAAGAAATTGCCGGAAGATGTGTTTATTCTTATACTTTTGAAGCTTCCGGTAAAATCTCTTATCCGATTTAAATGCATCTCTAAAACATGGTACATTCTAATGCAATCGTCCACATTCATCAACCTTCATCTCAACCACGCTATAAATGCGAAAGACGAATTCATTGTCTTCAAGCTCTCTTTTCAAGAAGATCCCTTCCAACATAAAACTATCTTGTCTTTTCTATTCGGTGATGATGATGATGATTATCTTACCCCTGTTTCACCAGATCTGGATGTGCCATATCTGACATCCACTTTTAGCAGCAACTATGATCAACTTATTGGCCCTTGCCAAGGTTTGATAGCTTTGATAAATATTGTTGACACCGTCTTATTTAATCCAGCTACTAGAAATTATAGATTGGTACCACCATGTCCTTTTCCGGTTCCAAAAGGTTTCCGTCGTTACGTTGATGGTATTGGGTTTGGCTTTGACTCACTTGCGAATGAGTACAAAATTGTTATGATTTCCGAAGTTTAAAATGATCCTCCTTACTGAGATCCATTTACGAGGGAGGCAAGAGTTGAAGTTTATGATATGAGCACGGATTCCTGGAAAGAAATGGAGAACGTTGATCAAGAATTGCCCAGGGTTTATTGGGCTCCTTGTTCTCTGGTATTTTACAAGAGGGCTTGTCATTGGCTTGCAATTGCACCAAAAGACAAATTGACAATTCTTTGTTTTGATATGAGCACAGAGGCTTTTTACAATATTAATATGCCTAATACTTGCAATTCCTAGAACGGGCCGCGCTATGGCCTAGTGGTCTTAAACGAGTCTATAACAATGATTCGTTACCCTAATCCAAAACCTGAGTATGATCCAACACAGGATTTAATGCAGATATGGATAATGAAAGAGTACGGTGTATATGAGTCTTGGATCGAAAAATACACAGTTAGACCTTTTCTTATTGAATCCCCATTAGCAATTTGGAAGGATTGTTTGATGCTTTTCCAAAGCAGAAAAGGGGTTTTGATTTCCTATGATCTTAAGTTTGATAAAGTCAAGGAATTAGATTTAAATGGTTGTCCTGGAAGCTTGAGAGCTATAAGTTTCAAAGAAAGCTTGATACAAATTCCACGTGGCACCGAGCACAGTACTCAAGTTCGAAATTTTTAGAGAAGGTACAACTCTTCAATTTTAAATTGATAAAATAGCACTTTATTTTCGATAGAATTTTCTTCATCGAGATTTGACAGTATTTTTGTAGCTAGCTTCTTCATTGAGTTATTCTGGCTCTGCATGTGTTGGCCCAAGAATAGGTGAAGTTTTGAAGAATGACAAATGAATTCAGTAATGGACCAGGTCCATCTTGTGAAGCACAGTCATGATCAACCTATACATGCGAGATGCACGTGAAAGAGATAAGTCCTACTGATCAAGCAACAATATCTCCTGATCTGATCGAAAAGGTTACATATTGGAAAGGGAGAAAGTCTCCTTATATGAAGAGAACACAATCCGGATAAAGATAGTATTGGAGTTTGAGATCTTCAAGGACTCAACTACGATAGAAGATCAGCAATTGAGTCCCAATCAAAGTTTGATTACTAACCTATTAAATGACAGTGATTGTTCTCTTTTATAGGGATTGCACAAACGCGAAGTTAAATTAAATTGAGAGCAAATAGCAAGGCGATTTTGCAAGCAATTTATGGAAGATTTGAGGGTGCACTCCTGAAGCTACTTGAACGAGATAGAAGAACCAATTCCATTGTGTCTTTCTTTTATTCTAGTTCGATTGTAGCAGGTGGTTTAAAGTTGTACCTTTCAGCTTTCATAGAAGCAATTGTATTAGGTACTTAGAGTGTTCAAGTTATAAGCTAACTTGAAGTTGTCGCAACAGTTGAGGCTATGTGCTACAACGGGATTAGAGTTAATCCTTAGGTTTACAAAGAGTTTTTGTGAATGCTATTTTGGCTCAGTGATTTTAGTGGAAGTTTGGGAAAATCCTACTGAGTAATAGGTCGTGGTTTTTTCTCCTTTTGAGCCAGGTATTTTCTACGTAAAAATATCTGTGTTCTTTATTTTACGTACTTATTATTACGCAAATAGTAGTAGTTAGAACACGTAGAAGAACTAGGTACTTCTAGAGTGAAAATTGGGTACCACACAAATCACCCTCCCCCCTCCTCTTGTGTTGTATTGACGTTTAGAACATCAAATTGTATCAGAGCAGGTTATTCTTGAAGAGGCTAACACCTTAGGAAAAGATCAACATGAGTGCACCACCTGGGAACTGGGAAGGGTAATCCACTGGTAGGCCTCCACTTTTCAATGGTCAGTACTATTCTTGGTGGAAGAAAAGGATGAGGGATCACATCATAGGAGAAGACTATGAACTCTGGGTTATAGTCACTGATGGTCCTCTAGCAACTACAACGAAGAATGCTGAAGGAGTGGATGTGCCAAAGACAAGAGCTGACTGCACTGCTGAAGACCTGAAGAAGTGGGGAGAAAAATGCCAAGGCCATGAAATGGCTTGTGTGTGGACTAGGTCCAGATGAGTACAGTAGAATTCAAAGTTGTACCACTGCTATGGAAATATGGGATACTTTGCAAGTGGCTCATGAGGGAACACCTCAAGTGAAGAGGTCCAGAGGAACACTATTGTATTCTCAATATGAGAATTTCACCATGAAGGAAAGAGAAACCATCCAAGAGATTCACCACACTGACAAATGAACTTAAGTCTCTTAGAAGGGTTATTCTTGAAGAAGGCAAAGTTGAGAAGATTTTGACAAGGGTTTTGCCAGTCTTTTGGGAAAGCAAAATCACTGCTATTCAGGAATCAAAGAATATTGCTACCCTCAAACTGGATAAACTAATTAGAAACCTTACTGCCTATGAATTGAGAAGGCAAACCATGAAAATGGATGCACCGAAGAAGAAAAGAAGTCTTGCTCTCAGAATTGCTGAAGGCTCAGATCTGGAGGATGATGAAATAGCTATGATCACAAGAAATTTCAAAAAGTACCTGATGAGAGGAAAGGGTTCTTCAAGAGGTACAACATTCAACAAACCAAGGGCTCCTGAGAAACAGACCAATGAGGGTTGCTACAAGTGTGGTAAGACTGATCATATGATCAAGAATTGTCCTCAATGGGAAATTGAGTGGAAGAAGGAGAGGGCTGAACTAAGGAACGGGAAGAAGGAACAGGTTCAACCAAAAAGGAAGAAAGGATCAATAAAGGCTATGGTTGCTGCCTAGGGAGAAACATCAGATGAAGACTCAAAAGATGAAGCTGGAGATGAACAAGCACTTATGGACATCGGAGAATCAGATGATGAACAAGAGGTAAGTATTCTTCATCTTAAAGACAAGATTAAATTCCTGTCTAAAGAAAGGTTGTCTGAACTACTGCTAGACTTTATTGATGAGTCTGTGAAAATTAACAATGAGAAGGAAGAGTTGTCTAAGGAATGTGTGATCCTAAAATCCAAGTGCAAAATCTAGAATCTAGGGCTAATGAGAGTGAAAGCAAAAATGTTGAGTTGAAGAACCAGGTTCTTGAACTTGACACTAGTGTCCTAGAACATAGGTCTGAGAACTTAAAATTGAAACTAGGAACAGGAAAGAAGAAAGCTGATCACACACATCTCACCCTAGAAGAAAACTTAGGAAAAATGAAGGATGAGCTGTATAAGAAGGATGAGCAGATAAGAATATTAAAAGAAGATCTAGGGAAGGTAATACATGAATTAGACATAGCTTGTAAATAGAACAAGGCTTCTGATGCACTCTCCTGGCTATAAGAACATCACAGTAGCAACAAAAGAGGACTTAGTTATGGGACTCAAGCACGTAAATGGGATCCTAAAAGCAAGTACCTCACTCTTCCTGAGAACAAAATCTGCACACATTGTGGCAAGATCGGTCATTGCAAAAATGAATACAATGCAAAAGAAAAGGCCAGTCAAAAGAACAAAGCTTTTGTTCAAGAAAAAAATAGGCTGCCTGGGTGGGCTAGAAGAAATCTGATTTATCCCTTTGCCTATAGAAAGGGACCTAAAATAGTTTGGTTTCCTAAGACTAACCCCTGATTTCTTTTTACAGCTCAAAGTGAATGAAAGTAGCCAAATATGGTACATGGATAGTGACTGCTTAAAGCATATGACTGGAAGCAAGAACCAGTTCCTTTCTCGTGAGGACTTAAAGGGAGGTAATGTCTCCTTTGGAAATGGGATGAAAAGTGAGATTATTGGGGTTGGAAAGGTAGGTTAAATAGACTCTCACTCCATTGAGAATGTCTACTTGATAGATGGCTTGAAATACAGCCTGATCAGTGTGTCACAACTATGTGACAAAGGTAACCTTGTAGCATTCACCTCTACTAAATGTTTTGTGATTAACCTTACTACTGACAAGATTGTTTTGCAGGGAAAAAGAGTTAACAATATTTACATTGTAGATTTGTCTACTCTCTCAAAAAATGAACTAACCTGCATGAGTGTGCTGGATAATGATCCCCTCCTGTGGCACAAAAGACTTGGTCATGCTAGTCTAAATCAGCTAAACAAATTAGTCTCTAAGGACTTTGTGATAGGGTTACTTAACATCAAGTTCAAGGAAGACAAAGTTTGTGAGGCTTGTGCAAGAGGGAAGCAGGAAAGATCATCCTTCAAAAGAAAGAAAATGGTAGGCACAACCAAGTCGTTGGAACTGGTCCATATGGATCTGTGTGGTCCAATGAGAACCATAAGCAGAGGTGTAAAGAAATACGTAATGGTACTTGTTGATGATTATTCTAGATTTACCTGGGTACTATTTCTAACATCTAAAGATGAATCATTTGACTTGTTTACTGCCTTTGTTAGAAAAACTCAGAAATAATTATGAAATCAACTTGCATTATTAGGTCTGATCACGGAACTGAATTTGAAAATGCTAAGTATACCGAATTCTATGATGAAAATGGTATAGATCATAACTTCTCTGCCCCTAGGACTCCTCAACAAAATGGAGTAGTTGAAAGAAAGAACAGGACTCTTGAAGGCATGGCTAGGACTATGCTTCTTTCTAGTAAACTGTCCCATAGCTTCTGGGCAGAGGCTATAAACACTGCATGTTACATTATCAATAGATGCATGACTATACCTCTTGTAGAGAAGACTTCCTATGAGTTACTTAAAGGGAGAAAACCAAATATATCCCATCTTAGGGCTTTTGAATGCAAGTGCTTTGTGCACAATAATGGTAAAGACTCCCTAGGTAAGTTTGATCCCAAAAGTAATGAGAGAGTATTCTTCACATAGCAAAGCATATAAAGTGTTCAATAAAAGAACTTTGTGTATAGAAGAAAGTGTACATGTAGTATTTGATGAAACTAACATTCCTTCTGAGAGATAGGAACATGAAGATGAAGCCATTGGATTGGTAAAGGATTTGACTGAAACCTCAGCACAAGTCAAAGTGGCACCAAAAGAAGGAACATGTGATGGAGCATGTTCTTCCATCCAGGGCAACCTGACAGGGGGAACTAATCAAAGAGGATTGAAATAAATCCCCTAAAAGAACCTGTTCATGACCCTGTTCCTCAGCAACAGAACATGGGAGAAACATCTAGTAGAAACCAGTTGGTTGTGAAACCTCACAAGTATCAAAGTTCTCATAATGTTGAGAACATTATCACTGATCCAACATCTGGAGTCAAAACTAGATCACAATTAAAGAATCTGTGTGCTTTTGATGCCTTTTTATCTTTTATTGAACCTAAAAATGTTGTTGAGGCTTTGTAGGATGCAGATTGGGTGAATGCAATGCAGGATGAACTCAATCATTTTGAAAGAAGTCAAGTTTGGCATCTAGTTCCAAGACCCAAGGACATATCAGTTATTTGTAAAAAATGGGTCTTCAGAAATAAACTTGATGAAGATGGAACAGTTACAAGAAACAAGGCAAGACTGGCGGTCAAAAGTTATAGCCAAGAGGAGGGCATAGATTATGATGAGACTTTTTCTCCAATTGCAAGACTAGAGGCAATCAGACTCCTAAGAGCCTTTGCAACACACATGTAATTCACTCTTCATCAGATGGATATCAAAAGTGCCTTCCTGAATGGCTACTTGAAAGAAAAAGTGTTTGTGAAACAACCTCCAGGGTTTGAGAGCAAGGAATGTCCAGGGCATGTGTACAAGTTAGATAAGGCTCTCTATAGACTCAAGCAAGCCTCAAGAGCATGGTATGAACGACTGTCCAAATTTCTATTGGAACATGGTTACAAAAGAGATAAAATTAACAGTACCTTATTCTTAAGGGAAAAAGGTAAGGATCTCCTTGTGGTACAAATATATGTTGATGACA